GGCATGAGCCACCATGCCCAGTCCCACCCCGATTTTTAATGTGGATATTAATTCTTTCTGGGTGTGGTGACTCACACCTGTAATTCCCAGCACTTTGGGAGGCTGAGGCATCCATATAACTTGGGGTCAGGAGTTCCAGACCAGCTTGACCAACATGGTGAAACCCTGTCTCTACCAAAAATACAAAAATTAGCCAGGCATGATGGCGGGTGCCTGTATCCCAGCTACATGGGAGGCTGAGGCAGAAGAATCACTTCAACCCAGGAGGCAAAGATCGCGCCACTCCATTCCAGCCTGGGCGACAGAGCGAGACTCCATCTCAAAAAAAAAAAAAAAAAAAAAAAAAAAAGGATTAAAAAAAAACCAAACAAATCCAGAGGTGCTCAAGCCATCTTTAGGATTTTTTAAATTCCTAAGAATTTTTCGTAGGAATTTTTTTAAGGAATTTTTTCCCCCAGAACATAAGAAAACAAATTATATATGAAATGGAGCTGGTCTGGTGATGGGTCTCTGGCCGGTCCTCAGTGTCTTCGTTACAGAGCTCCTCAGCATTGGAGTGGCACAGGCCAGAGATCACTGGTCTCCAGTAGGACTACATTTTAAAAAGCAGAATGAGCTGCCCCAAGATAAAGTTCCTTTTGCCTAAGAAGCCAAGTGCTTCTATAGAGATGAACAATTCCACTTCCTGTTGCCACATTTTTAACTATTTATTGAATGAGGCAGTCAAAGACAGAATGGAAAACAACACAGAATCCATGCTTTGCTACTGGGGTTTTGCTTTTTTCTTCTTGGCAACTTCTCAAACTATTTGGAGGTTATTTCACCACAAAGGAACACGGACTTTAAAGTCCCTGGACAACTTCACAATGACGATAAAAAATAATAATTAAAAAAATAACAAATTGTAGAACTAGGACTATTTATATGTAAATTTCCCACCCTCCCCCCATTACGTACAGAAAAGAACATATAAAGAACATTAGTTTTATATAAAACAAGCAAATACAAGAATCTGAAACTTTTCTCAAAGGTTGAGCAAGACATGAAGAATCTTTTAATGTCGCATTTAGAAAACACATTAAATACACGATCACACACATGGGGAGAGCTGGGAGGAGGGGGGAGGAGCTGTCCCTGTACTCAAGGAGCAGAGATTTGGCCTGTCGAAAAGTCAGGTGAATTCAGCCACTGGAGACTCAGGGCTTGCAGCTGAGAAAGAGTTAACGGTTACCAAGAATACCCAGACACCTCCAAGGAGGAAAGCTGTTCCCAGCCTGGGCCACCAGGCTGCATCCAGGAACATGAGCCTCCAGGAGTCCATTCGGAAGCAGGGCCTGATTCGGGAACACAGCAAACGCCCTCAGCTGTTTTCTAACACACCCTATTGTGATGGCCAGCCTTCCATGAGCCAGGTGTCCCTTCTTCCCTTCTGTGTACTGCCAGGCCCAACCCTGCTTCCAAGATCACACAAGATCAGGGGCGTTCAGGTTGCTGTGGCTGTAGACCGGGTGTCCCTTCCTGTTGCTCCAGCGCCTCCTCTGTGAAGCTACAGACAGCTAGAGAAAACTGCTCCCATAGGTGTATCCTGGTTTAGGAAGATTTTGCTTTCCTTCCTTTCCCTTCCAACCCCTCCCACCCCCTTCCCATCCTCTCCACCACCATGCACGCACACACACCCACAAGCACACTTACACACACACTCATCAAACCCTTAATACTTGTTACCTTCAGTTCATATATACGACCAATTCAGGACTGACCTTAAAACCAGAGGAACATTTTAATAGTCATGAGATCAAGAAGGATACCTGGGAAGGAGAGGAGATGGGAGGCTGAGGAAAACCCTCTTGTCCCAGGCCCAGGAGCTTTCAAGACATTCATCTGCCTGTGGCAAGGTCAGCACCTGGGCCAGCCCGAGGAGCATCTCAGCTAGCAGACCACGTAGCCCCTGGACCTTGCAAGCGCATCTCTGACCCACGCCATGCCGGAACTCCTTCCTCAGGTGAGTCCAGCCGAGAGAGTTCTGGGTGGCCACTGGGAGGCAGCTTTGGTGAAGGGCATGGTCACCTCCGCCTGAGTTTGTCAGTAGCTCAACGCATGACCCTGGTATGAACAAAAACTGGGTGACTGTGTCTGGCCACGTACCCTACCACCCACTAAACTGGGTGAATTATTGTTTCCACAGCTCACCTTGATTTCATACAGATAATTCCATGCGGGTTTCATACATATATATATATATGTATATATATACTTTACATATATGTAAATGTGTATGTCCATATGTACACATATACATATATTCACACTCACACATACACACACATAAGTATACACACACATTTCCGCAGAAAGAAGTCCTGCCACAATTTGGCTTTTTTGGGACAGTGAAATTGACAACGCAGTTTCTTACTCCACCAATCCCAGAAAATCAAGAGTGGTGCTTTAAAAAATGCAATTCCAAAATCTGCTGCCTTTCTTCCTTTTAAAAAAAAAAGGTTAACAAAACTTTTCTTCCAAAGTCGAGAGACTTAATTCCATTTGATTGCACCTCTGCAAATGTGTAAAAAATCTTGAAGTAGACTACAAAACGATGCCATAATATGGCTGTATGTCACTGTTCCAACGTCACCACCTCCACAGCTTGGCCGTCCATGGTGACTGCGCTGTCTGATATCCTGGTGGTCACAGGGGCCATGGCCACCTGCACTGGTCCGTTGCCCTGGGCGAGGCTGGTCACCACAGTCTGGTACATGCTCACAGGGATCTGGACCAGGCCTGGAGAGACAGAGGGAAGACCGTTGGTGGGGCTCTTGCTCAAGCTCCTTTTTTCTGGCTGGACAGGGGCACCCAGCTCTTGCCTTTGAGGTATCGTGGTCACCAGCCCCAGGTGATCATATATACCCATGGCCCAGGCACAAAGATATCCCTTCTCCCACCCCATTAAAATTTTTTTCATTAATGTTTAAGATTTATAATTGATACATAACTGTACATGTTTATGGGGTACACTGTGATGTTTCAATGCATGTATACATTGTAGAATGATCAAATCGAGATAATTACCGTATTAATCTCTTTAAAGATTTATCATTCATTGTGGTGAAAACATTCAAAATTTAACTATCTTTAACTATAGACCACATTGTTATTCGCTACAGTCACACTACTGTGTAACAGAACATCAGGACTTACTCTTCCTTACCTGCTGGCCAACCTCTCCTGCCCCCCTCCCCCACCCTTCTCCAGACACTGGTAATATTGTTCTATTCTCTACTTCTATGCAATCAACTTTTTTCCATTTTAACTTTTTTTGTTTTTTATTTTTAAAAAGATAGGGTCTGGCTCTGTAACCTAGGCTGCAGTGCAGTGGCGTGACCACAGCTCACTGCGGCCTCAAAGTCCTGGATTCAAGTCATCCTCTCACCTCGGTCTCCTGAGTGCTGGAACCACAGGCATGTGCCACCATGCCTGGCTAATATCTATCTATCTATCTATCTATATAGATAGATAGATATTTAGAGATGGAGTCTTGCTATGTTGCCCAGGCTGGTCTTGAACTCGTGGCCTCAAGCGATCCTCCCACCTTGTCCTCCTGAATAGCTGGGATTATAGGTGCAAATCACCAAGCCTGGCCATTTTAACTTTTTTAAAACAGACTATCAGGAAAGAAAAGTTTGGAGAAACTGTGGAAACATGCCTCAGGGTAGGGTCTCCCCAGCTTGCCGTGAGAGGGCCCTGCCTGCCCTCGTATCTAGGAAGCACAGGCCTGTCAGGTGTTAATGCCCCCTGCCTGCCTTCTCCCTCTCGGAACAGGCCACCATTACCTTTCTTTGATATTTGGCTACACTGCCTTCTTCAACCCTCTTTCTGCCTATGGCAAGTCTCTCTCAGCCTAAAGAGTAAAAGCTTCTCCCTCTCTTATCCTGTCTTCTGGCCACTGCCCCATCTACATGCCTTCCTTCAGAGTCAAGCTTATTATTATTATTTTTAAAAGCCTAGGGCACTTGTTTCCTGGTTTTTAGATTTCACATACCAGTAAAATGTAAAAACACATTTTGGGGTCAACTTAAAAAAAAAGACCCCAACTACTTCCCAATATCACTGTTATTTCAGAGCAGAAAGGATGGTTTAAAGGAAGAAACATAACCTCCATAAAGGTAGGCCTGCCCAAAAAAGGAAAGCTGATAATAATAGATTTTAAAAAAGGATTCCCTGTAACTAATGTATACGTCCATCTCCTCTTCCTTCTGAAACTAGAATTACAGTGAATGGGGCAAAAAGGATATAAACGAGGGATGTCAACGTTTTTTTGGAAGATGCAATGCAAATGTGAAATGGTTCTGATTTATCAGAGAAGTGGAAGGGGCAACTCCTACGCCCACACAGGGCTCAGGACATAGAGGCCTAGCTACTACAGAAAGAGGGGATGAGGTTAAAAATGAGAATTAGTGAAAGTCTGCAATTTAACGGATTAGATCAATCCCAACATCCAGACCCAGAGACCTTTGCTGCCGGGCCTCTGAGATTCACCCACTGTATTGAGAAACTGACCCGGAGAGGCCCCTTTTAGTTCCTGTTGACATTTAAACCATAGGCTACTTTGATGAAGATAAAAATTAATCAAAAAAAGGGTTGTCAAAATATTTTCTAATGCAAAAAATCAAATATAAAAGATTTTCTTTTCCAATGTTAAATTGTATGTAACTGTTTTCTGGGAGTAAGTGTTGCCAGTTTAGGGATACGGGGTAAGCATTTGGTGATGGAATGAGACGTCATGAAGTGAGGCTTGCTGTTCTGGTGACAGATCGCTGGAAAACCCGGCTCCTCTGGTGTGCCCTTACACAAATGGAAGATATGGCCAGTCCCCCCAACACTTGCAATGCAGGCCTGAAAGGGAGGAGGCGGCGGCCAGCCTCCATGAGCACATGGGCATGGTGGAAAACAGGCTGAGGGGCCAGGCCTTGGCTTACAAAACTGTGGGCTTCAATTTCTTTCAACAAAACCTTTGCAAATGGCTCTGGTCTTTAATCAATCCCTCTTTCAGTTCACCCCTTCCCAGTCACTCAAATTACCTGTCTTTATTATTATTAAATAGTGATGAGGTATCACTATGTTGCCCAGGCTGGTCTTGAACTCCTGAGCTCAAGTGATCCTCCTGCCTCAGCTTTCCAAAGTGCTAGGATTATAGGCGTGAGCCACTACACCCAGCCAAATGATCTTTCCATAACGTGTTACTCCCTTCATCTCAAACATTTAAATGCCAAGGCATTTAAAAGGTTCCCAAAGTTTATAATAAAGTTCAAATAATTTAGTATGGTCTTCAAGGCCTCTCATGATTTGCCCTGGTCCATCTTTCCAGTCTCATCTCCCTCACTCTCTTGCAGGTACCCTGCGCTCTAGGTAACCCCGCACCCCAGACTACTCTCAGTTCCCTCAATCTAGTAGCCACACTCTTGGGCCTTTGCTCAGGCTGTTCACAAGATAGACTTATCCCCCACTTTTTCCCTTTATACTCGGGTCAGCTTTCCCCCCTTGTGGGACCTGCCAGCCCCATCAATGCTGGAGCAGCCTCTTCTGGATTCTCAGGAGGCCCAGGGACAGCCATGGATAAGCTGGCTGGGCCAGTTGATGCATGTCTGCGACAGGCCTTCCCACTTGACAGAGGGCTCTTTCCAGATCAGGCCTGGCTCTGGCTTATTTCATGTTCCTCACAGTACGAAGTACAAAGTGTGCCACAAGTTGCTATCAACATAGCCTCAAGGGTCATGTACTGCTGGCCTCAACCAATGTGCAGCTGGACCCTCTCCCTAGCCTCTAGACTCAAGGCCTGGGCCTGAGTGTATACATGTGAAGACCGTACAACCTCGTCAGCCCCCCGCCTCCTCCCTGTGTATCACAATTATGTTCTCCTCTGGTCAAAACAGGTAAAGTTAACAAAGTCACCCAAAATGCCCAGTGGCAAGGCCAAGACACCTGTGCGATCCTTCAGGGAGCCCACATGCTGGCAAGTAGCAAGCAAAACCAGAAGCCACAGTCAGCCTCATTTCACTGCTCCTGCCTCTAGGTTCCATTGAGTTCCAAAAGCTCCAAGCTTGGGGAACAAGTCCCCTGTTTTACAGCTACAGAGACTACAGTGTGCAGGGAGATCTTTTCTAACTGAGCAACAATCTGGGTTAGGCTGGTGTGAACAGAGACTAAAAGAGTTGTCAGAGGTAAATTTCTTTCACCTTGGCTGTGATGTGATTGGGTTTCCTATGATGTGAGCCCATGCCCAATACTGTTGTTAAAATAGTTTTTATATTATCATGGAAGATTTCTTCCAGAATAAAATTGCAAAAATTTATCCACTGGCTGGTGCTGCCATAATCAGAATGACCTTCAGAACATCTGACCTTATCTTGCTGTTCTCCTTCACAGTTCTTCAGTGGTTTCTAGTGGCCCACAGGATAGAAAGTCCAAACCCCTTTGCAGGTATTTAAACTCTTCACGTCGGCCACTGTTGTTCAGTTAAGCCTGGTGATCCACTAATCCCCACTCACTTCACACGCCAGCCAGATGAACTACTTGACTGAGGTCCATGCCTTCTGCCTGGAGGTGGCTCCTCCTCTTCCTCCGAGAGCTAGCCCCAGCCTCTCTCCTCATCTTGGGTCCTCTTCACTGATGCTCCTCCTCGGCTCTCTGCACAGGCTCCTTGGAGGCAGCAGCCTCATTCATCCTCACTGCTTGCATGTCTTGTCCCCAAGGAGGCTGTAGAGTCCTTAAGGGAGGGATTAAGTCTCCATCTTTGAGTGGCCAGCAGTCAGCAGGTGCCCATGAGTGTTTTCTGCTATCATGAATGAAACCTGCCCTCTAAGATTTAACATGTGTCCCTTCTAGGGACTGCGAGATTAAGGTGGGTGAGACTTAGGGTGATGACGCTGTTTTGGAACAAGAGCTCCCAGCCCAGAAAAAAAGCAACTTAAAAAATACTACATTCAAGACTCATCCAAATTAAGCTGTTTTTGAAAGATTCCATCTTCTGTACTCCACCGCTGACAACAGGGAAGAAGCACATTTTGCCACACCTGGGTGAGGAAACGGTCCCCACCCAAAGCTCCCAGGGAAGAGTAACTGGTGAGGACAGCCACACACCTTAGAAGGCCGGGAGAGGGAGGACATGATGGGAGTCATTTCATAACCCCCCATGCCTTGAAACCCCAATTCTCCTATTTTCTACATAGAGTTTTGGTCTACTGCCACCTTAAATAAATGCATGACCATCCCACTGTAGGGATTTTAAGACCTCTCTCTCACATAGCCATTTTGACATGGGATTAGATTAAATCGCCTCAGTGTCTCTGACCTAGCAGCCTTCATATCCCTGGCAAGGGAAAGGGGGAGGGGCTGGAGGCCTGGAAACCCAGCATGCACTAAGTCGGGCGGCTGCCCTTGGAAGAGAGATGATTAAATGCTGAGGTACAGTAATCAGGCTGGGACTGTCCCCGCATCTGCTCAGCCTGCTCCTGATTAGCCCTAATCTAGAGGCACATGTTAATCCTAGTTTGTATTCTGGGTCATTTCAATTGATTAAGCAACAGGAAGACCTTTGTGTTCTACTTTAAGGGGCGGAAGTGCTCCTTTTTCTTTTTCACAGGGCCCTTGGAGAGTCCTAGTAATGAGACTCCCTTGGCCTCAGTACAGCCCCTTTCCAAGCCCTCTCACACCCATTCATTGCATGTCACTTGACTTTGGCTGAGACCCTAGAGAGGTCCACAGGGCAGGGCTCCTTACCCTTCACAAGTGAGAACCAAAACCACCGGCTCATCATAAAGGCACATACTTCTAACATCCTGAAGATTTTAGTACCCCTGTATTTCAAAGCTACATAAAACCTTAAGAGTTTAGTAGTGCTCCCCTCCCTGTGTCCATTATTAAACTCTTAAGGTTTTGTGTAGCTTTGAAATACAGGGGTACTAAAATCTTCAGGATGTAAAATGCAATTAAAAAAAAAAAAGAGTTTAGTAAATACAACCCCTGTCTTTTTATCTGAACTCAAAAGTAAACATAAAAATTTTATTAAAACAACAACAACAAAAAAAAACCTCAATACAGATCAAGGGAGGACTGATTTTGTTCCCCAAACGACTTATGGTAAAGTCAGGGGCCCAGGCCTTTGATTTGGGAGTGTTTCCATATATCAGAATGTACCTTAGCACCTAACATGAGGGCCAGGAAGGACTCAGAAGGGAGAGGGCTGTCCTCTTTGGGCTCCCTGCTGCCTTTCTTCTCAAGTTTCATGGTAAGGTTTATAGAATTGGTCAAAATGGAAAAAAGGTCAGAGGTGACTCAGAAACTTCAGGTGCTAGCAGAGATTTCCTCGTCCAACAGCTGTCGGACCCAGATCTCTGGAAGAACTCCTGGCTGTAGGACCACATTCCCCTGGCAAGGACAATGAGGCTTGACATGGCTCTTTTTTTTCTTTTTAAATGAGTTGTGTATCATTCTTTTTTTTTTTTTTGAGACGGAGTCTTGCTCTGTTGCCAGGCTGGACTGCAGTGGTGCAATCTCAGCTCACTGCAACCTCCGCCTCCTGGGTTCAAGTGATTCTTCCGCCTCAGCCTCCTGAGTAGCTGGGACTACAGGCGCGTGCCACCACACCCAGCTAATTTTTGTATTTTTAGTAGAGACAGGGTTTCATCATGGCGAGAATGGTCTCGATCTCTTGACCTTGTGATCCACCCCCCTCGGCCTCCCAAAGTGCTGGGATTACAGGCATGAGCCACCACTCCCGGCCGAGTTGTGTATCATTTTTGAGCCAAAATGGTGAAACATGCTTTTCCCAAATAAATGGCAATGACATTCTTCTAGTTGCTCAGGCCAAAAGCTTTGAAGTCTTTGAAGTCATCCTTGACTTCACATCCAACACACCAGCTAATTCTCTCCCTTTGAATACAGACCCCAAATTCAACACTTTTCCTCCTGCCTCCCCAGACAAACACTGCCATCCTTTGCCTTCCTTTGTGATCAGCCTACCTTAGCACTTGCCAAAGGAATCTTTTAAAACTTCCATACAAAGTGATGCCTCTCAAATCACATTACATGGGAGGCAGATTGTATCGACTCAGAAGCCTGGCCTTGCACGCTGCAGAGCGAGGGGCATGACGCTTTACAGTGGTCTGTCTCTGATGGCGGCACCAGGGGAACACTGTGGTAGACCAGGGGCGCCAATGACAGTTACTTTAAAGGTTAGGGTCACAGCCTTGCACACTCTGTGGATTTATCATTCACGAGCCAATCTACTCTATTCCAGATCTCTCATGGGGCAGTGAGTTTCATCACTTGCCTATTGTATATGGAATTTACATATATACACATATGTGCACGTATATGTGGAAATGGAATTTATTTATTTGGGGGAATTTATTTTTCCCAAGGTTAACTACTTTCAGTATTCAGTATTATTGGATGAAGAAGTATATATAAAATGGTTAACTACATCTTCAAATATTGTTTGGCAAAAGCCGTCCCATCCCACCAAAAAAATTCCTTTGCTTCTTCCTATCAGGAAAATAAAGTGCAAATAGCTAACAGTTGAAGGAGTTTACATAGCCTTTCCCACAAACATCTTACACTGTCCCCTCATTACAACCACGTCCCCTGGGTACCATGTGAGCTTCCTCAGGCAGGTTCCTCTGTCTGGAATTATGCCCTGCCACTCTCAGTCCAGTTCTTCTGACAGTTTCCACACAGTGCATGGGGTTGCCTGAGGGGACAGCCCACCAGGTTTCTCCCTCCTGTGACTTTTTTGCTGCCACCATTCATTTGGCCCCAGGTATGTGCTGACCTGTTCCCAAGGAGTTGCTGCTTTTCTCTCTGTAAATCTGCAAGCTTGCATTGTTGGCAGGACTGTCTTTGAATGCTGAGCAACTTGAACACAGTAGGTGCTCAATAATTGAATATGATATGAAAATGTGTAACTGATCATACTCTTCATAATTTTCAGAAACTTGGTGGTACTCCCTTTAGTCTTGCCCTCCACAGACCGAACAGCCTTAACAGCTTTGACTCTCATCCAGAATGAGGCCGAATTTTCTCCACAACAACATTCTTATGGTGCTGTAGTTCAGCTGCATTTTATGTGAGAAAAAACCAGGCTGTTTATTTCCATTAAAGGCTTCTGAGTCAGAAAGACCTACATGTGAATCTTGGTTCTGCTATTTAATGGCTTGTGAGCCTGTTTCCTCATATATAAAATGGTGATCACTCATCTCACAGCGCTGCTGAACTAGAGGGGGGATGACACAGTAAAATCTACTACAGTGCTTGGCACATAGTAGGTATATAATAAACGCCACTGCTTTTCAAAGATGACTTTGAGTACGAAGTTTGATGGAGTCTGGCTGGGGTCACAGATGTTAGACTAAAGCTCTCAGAAAACAGAAAGAAAAGCAGAGACAGCACAGATCTCCTTTCAGCAGTGATTTTCTCCTGCCAGGAAGCACATCATTCGTCAAAGGCCTTCAAAGATGTAAAGATGAGAGATAAAAGCCATGAAATCAGGGCAGATGGACTGGCAGGCAGCTTCCCGTCTGAAACACAGCGATGGTCAGGACTGGCACTGGCACTGCACCATGACGTAGACGAAGCAGTTGCTAATCTAGCACATTGGTCAATAAGCAACCAGGAAAAACCACTCCTCAATAGTAAGAGTGTTGAAAATATGATCAGAGCAGTCTGATGTGATGTCATCACCCTGATATATTTCTGAACTCCTCCAGAAACTAACAGGCTTGAGCCAAGCAGAGCACAGGGCTGCAGGGCTGTCGAAGTTATCCAGCACCAGAGCTGGCCCTCCCCTCACCCCACGACAAGATAGAGCAGGACAGACAGCCTGAGGAAGAATGGGCCTTTCATTTGTCCTCACAGTCTGGGAAACCTTTGGGAATTGTTGTTTGCTGTAACTGAATCTTTCAGCCCGAAAGCCTTCCAAGTTGGTCATGGAAATATCTTTAGTTGCGAGAAAAATACTGATGGCTGTTGAGAGAAAAAGAGCTAAACAAATAATAAACATGACAGTTGGTGGAAGAGAAATACTTCTTAAAACCCAAAGGAAAATTGACATTATGTAATGCCTTCTGTAGTTTATGAACATGAATGCTAACTACGTACATCAGGGAAATACTGGCCCAAATGGGAACCAGGACCATGATTAGAAAGGAGAGGAATGCATGAGTAAGAAATGAAATTACAGATTATATTGTTTGAGTTTTTAAGGAGCCAGAAAGGGTTTCTACAGGTGTTTGTAGGGGTGATAGGCAGAAGGAAGTCCTTTAAAAATCTTCCATTTACAGGCTTGGAAAAATATTTACATCAGTGGCTGACATCTAAGGAAAGCCACTATATGAAGAAAAACATACATGGTATGTGCCAGTATAGAAGTGGAAGAAGAAAACAGGAAATCAGTAAAGAAGCTATCAGTAAAGTAGGCAGGCAGCAGTTAGAGAGGCTGAGAATACCAAGGACTAGATGGAAAGAGGACATATGTAGAGCAAGAAAAGGAAAGTCATGAAAAGAATGTCAATATCAAACAAATAGGAGGTCCGAGTTACCTCATGATAGTAGGGGAAGGGGGGAAGGGAAAAAGCGTTTCTTTCCCAGTGGTTCTGTTTCTGTTCTATTCGCTGCTCCTAGGATATTTAATCTCCCTTTTCCGTGTTTCCTAAGTCCAAGGCTTTTGGGTACATTTAGGGGATTTATGGATTAAAATATGTCTTACATCTGGCAAGTACTGAGTATTCTCATGAAGCCAAGAGCAGCCTCACAGGTGCCTTGGTGTACAGGGTGCTTTTCAGCACCCAGGGTTTTTCTTCCATCTTGCTGGACCATCTCAAGACTAAGAAAGACTCCTTGTGGAATAACATTCAAAGCAGTGAATCTGGTTGAGACAGAGTCATTCTATCTTTTGCCTGATTTTGCAGACCACCAGGAAGCTTTTCATGCCCCTCATCCCACGAACCAAATATTAAAACTGAATTCATTTTTACTTTATTAGTAAATGTATTTCAAAACCTATTTTAGACATATAATTTCCTCTTGACATTACTGGAGATGCCCAGGAGCATGATGCAATCAGGGTCTGTGTTTCAGTACTTAGAACCACCATGGTTTATTACCCTGAAAATTGAGCTCCCAATGTGGGGATGAACAAGCTAACTTCAAGGCCTATTGATCTCGCCAAGAAGGCTTTAAACTGAAAATGGCAGGATAGAAAGCGTTCTGCTAAAGCTTGTGGAATATGCATATGCTCTGGAGCAGTGGTCCCAAGCATTTTTGGCACCAGAGACCAGTTTCGTGGAAGACAGTTTTTCCATGGATGGGAGGATTGGTGGGAGTGGTTTGGGGATGAAACTGTTCCACCTGAAATCATCAGTTCACAAAAGGTTCATTCTCCTATGAAAATCTGATGCTGCTGCTGCTCTGACAGGCAGTGGAGCTCAGGCAGTGATGCTCATGCTCCTGCCACTCACCCTCCTGCTGTGCCAGAGGTTGGGGACCTTTGCTCTGGAGGACATCTGATCTGACTGTACAGACGAAGGGCAAGGGGTACACAGTAAATTCCCAGAAGAAATCACTAGGAAGAAGGGTAGGAACAACACTCAAGGTTGAAGTCTGTGTCCCAGAGGATAGAGCATGGCAATATGCAGGGTGCACCACTATTTTAAAATGGAAAGTGAAGCCCAGATGACAAACCTCAGAAGAAGGAAGTCACCAACAGTCTGCAACAGTCAGGTGCAGAAATGAACAGCAGGCCCAATCAGGAGTTACTCCGAGTTAGGAATGGAGATTTGTTTATTTTTTTGTTATTATTATTTTCAAACTTTCTATGATGGAAAACTTTAAACAGGCACTAGGAGAGGGAGTAGTACATTGAACTCCATGTGCCTGCCATCCAGCCCCTGCCTCTTCTATCTGAGCAGGGATAGGCTGAGACAGGGAAGCTTCCAAAGATGTACTCTTGACTTTTCATCCCCCCACTCAGCATAATCTGTAGAGCACCATTTAGGAAAAAAAAAAAAAAACCCACAAAAAACCAAAACTTTCTAAGAGCACATAAAGGGCAGAAATAAATTTGCTTTAGGCAGTGAGACACCTGAAAAAAGCAGATCTGCAAGTAGAAATAGACAGTAATGGGGCTTTAGTCAAATGGAAAGAAATCTATCCCAATACACTTCACCTTGATCAAGTTTTTATCCTCCCTTTCCTATCTGAACTGTACTTAGCATAGCCAAATTGTTCATGGGGACAAGTTCTTCATAAAAGAATCCCAACTAGAGGTGAGAGGATCACTTGAGGTCAGGCCTTCGAAGCTGTAGTGCGCCACGATCATGTCTGGGAATAGCCACTGCACTCCAGCCTGGGCAACGTAGTAAGACCTTGTCTCTTCAAAAATAAATAAATAATTCCAGCCAATAAATGAAAATGAAACATTTGACACTAGAAAAAATCAGATTATCAATGGTTACTAAAACTATCAGGTGACCAAGTGAGGGGGACTGCACAATAGAGGAATCCCACCATCCATGCAGGAAGCAGTGCCTGGAATGACAGCCTCACAGTCACTCTATCCTCCAGCTGCTTCCTTCTTTCCCCAAAGATGAACCCACCTGTGGCTTTGTCAGTCAGGATCCACTTGCGACCTGCACGATCTGCCATAAAGAGGCCTGACAATAACACAGAACTGTTAAAAAAAAAAAAAAAGCACCGGGCAAGATGGGCCACCAGCCCCGCTGCGGCGCTGCAGCTTCCCGTGCACATCCGGTGCCGGGTGCACAGCCTTGCTCCTTCCACCCGTGAGGAACGCCTTCCGTAAGCATGCCAGCGCCGAGTGCCAGTGTGCACTCAGACCACCAGATCTTAGTTTGGTTGAAGGGAGGGAGGTCATTTCCCTCGTATTTCCCCCTTGCAATTAGAATTTGTGATGTGATTTTCTTGTATCAGACTTACCTTCCTAATTATGTCTTCTTTAAGCTAATATGCAAACTAATTTGTATTCCCTAAGTACCCAGCAGCTGGGTCAGGGGGTGGAGGAGATGGTCCAGGCTTACAATGGCTTGCTTAGAGAAACTGTCCAAGGATTTAAAATGTGTCACAAGTAATCTGCATGACAGATAATCTGTAGGTAACAAGTAAGAGTTGACTATACTCGCATTTGTAAAACCAACAGGCCACTTCTTTATCTTAGGACTGCAATGAGGATAAATAACATCATGCTTGCATGATTTTAATTCTTGAGACAAAAGACACTGTCTAAATTTGAGGGAGTATTGTTATTTTACGTGGGCTTTCTCCAGGAGTCAAAGCAACCATGCAGCAGCTACCAGACACAGACAAATAGAAGCAGCAAGATGAAAGGCCCTGTCCTTGGTCCCGAGAGCTGCTGAAAATGGAAAGTGTTGGCAGCCCACCTGTTGAGTGAAGCAGGTGCCACTTAGACATTCACTTTACTGACTCCAACCACAAGCAGCATTGTCCACACAATGCATGCTTCGTTTACACACTCTTGGCCTGAGTGTTCACATGTCCTCTTGTTTTAATAAGATGCTCCGTTTAATGAGAAAAGGACTTTCTGGTCCAACAGCAGGGCTGTGAAAGCTTAATTAGAAGGCCAAGGAGAGGGTCAGCTGAAAGTGGACATTCCTAAAATTAAATTCCCTTCTCATTGGTTATATTTCAGTATATATATATATATTTTAACAAGGAGCAGGAGTGGAGAAAGGACATGAAATTCTTGGAGGAAAAAATACAAAAAGGTGAAAAAGAACACAGTCTAGGTAACATGGCTGGAAGGAGTTCTTCCAGAAACATTCAGGCAAATTTCATTTTTTCCTCCCAACAAGACTGCAATAGGAACTCCCAGGCTTCCTTAAGCAGTTGAGGCATTTCAAGAGGTTCAGACCACTCTCAAACAGAGCAGTCCACTAGAGTTTCCTGTGATGATGGGCCCGTTCTTTTTGAGTGCTGTCCAACATGGTGGCTACAGAGCGCTTGAAATGTGGCCAGCGTGACTGAGGAACTGATATCTCAATTTTATTCTGTTTTAATTAAGTTTAAATAGCCAGAACAGAGCTCTAAAACCTTCCCAGAGCTTCCAGTATGCCAACTCTGTATCATAAACATGCCTCCAACAGACAGACACATACCCTCACACTGTGTAACACTCTAAGAGTTGCCTTTGTTTAAATGGAAACTCAATCTGGAATTGGATGCTTTGTATTCACCTAAAATATAGTTTTTCTTGGCATTTCCCTTATTTAAATCACAGGTTCTTTCCTTTACTTATTTTAACACCCTCCAGCCCCCTAGGCCTCTACATGAGAAACTATCAGCATGCGAGAGCAATGCAGTGTAGATGCATGTTATGGTGCTATAAGGAATGAGGAGAGGCTGGGCTGGGCGGATTCAGAAGGGCTGCTGGACGCCTCTCTAGCGAGCCAATCTGATAGCATGGTCTTTGTAGTCTAGCTCACAGCAGTGTCTCGGTAGACCCCTTCCATGATTCTCAGATCCAATTGCTAGGCTTTACGACGGCAAAGATTTTTTTTTTTTTTTAATCAATTTCACTTAGCAAATCCCATTTAGTCTCTGAAAAATCTCTAAATTGGGGCCTTTTTAATAATGAAGATTTGGTGTAATTATAATGTCACAGGCAATTGTGCTGACAAAGCAAAACCAATATGTCTCCTTGCCAGGCCTTTGCTCTCAGTCTGACCAACAGGAGGAGAAAAGAGGCTTTGTCAGGAGCAGATGTGCACTGGGAGGCCCCAGGAAAGCAGATCTGTTGAATGAAGCAGGTGCCACTTAGACATTCACTTTACTGACTCCAACCACAACCTCCCCTTCATTTGATATCCTCCTCTTGGCAGGAGGATGGAGAAAGAGCATCACACAAAGAGGAAGCATGTTTATCCTGTTCAGATTACTGCTTCTGCCAGGCTGCTGCTGCTGCTGGGTTCTGCACATTTGCTCTTTATTAAGCAAATGTTAGAGCTGGGTGCTGGGAAGTGAATCCCTATATTTACACAGGTAACCTGAGAGCCAGAGGGCCCCAAAGCATCCTGGCTGCAAGGTACACGCTATTAGAGTTAATAACAGTGCACTGACATTCCTTCAAAATTCTAATGGAAGCATAAATAAAAAGAGGAAAGTCCCCTTTACCCAAGAACCTGATAAACTTTATTCTATAATAATTTTTCCTGTTCTAATATTCTGAGTCCTGTGTGAACTGTGATTAATGCCCTTTTTACATGCTCCGTTAAAATCTACTTTTCCATCCATGTATTGAATAGAAATGATTCCAATTAAACTTGTCCAATTGTGGCACTGGATTCGGTATGTCAGGAAAAAAAAACCCCTTTACAGAACAGCGCTCACAATGACAGGCACAAGATTCAGTCTTGGTTTATAAAGAGCTGCAATAATCTAAGACTATAATCTGCCTTTAAATACAAAGACTTGGAAAGATCTGCGGACCTAAAGGGAAGGAGGATGAGATAAAGAAACATGTAACTTGGCCTTGAGGACACCACGGATGGAGGGGAGACCACAGTCAGTGGTGTCCATCTGCCAGACGGCAGGGACCTTCTTGGGAATCTTTCTGGAAGCCCTGATCTGAGTTGTCTGCCCGGAATGTCCCTGGCTCAGATTGATGCTCTGTTCACAGAATGGTGTGCTGGCTCATCAAGTTTCCCCAAGCTGAGAATACCTGACACAGGCAGACCAAAGAGTAAATGAATTTGCATCTACTGAAGTACAGAAAAACAAAAAAACAGTATATGAAGATATGCCAAGGGGGCTTGACAACTTGTGCTAATTCCCTTTGGGGCCCTGATACTTCGACTGGAGGCATCCAGCCTTTCACATGAGAAACATCTAAAAGCTGCATCTGAACGACATGGCCACGCACAGATAAACACTAAGAATAGACACTGACAGCTAGTGGCCTATCATCTTATTGTAAAGGCCTCTATGTCCACTTCTGATCTGCAGTCTTTAAGCCTTCAAATAGCAGAGCCTAGATTACCAATTCCTGGCCTACAAATGATGAATACCCGAGGCCACTCCAGTTTATAATGGTAGAGAGAATGACACATCCCCTCTGGACATGCAGACTACACGAGGAGCCTAAACCTGCAAAGAGGGACAGAAGATACTCTCAGGAGGTAGTGCTGGTCCTTCTGAAGGTGTCCACAGGTCGGCACCTCTGCAGAGACAAAGAAATGCACCAAAGAACCCTGGAAACTGGAAATCCCTCCAGCTATGGGGGTTATGCCTGAGGAGCGACAGGAAAGGCTTGGTAATTCTAGAGAACAGAACCTCATGCCTAAGGGATATGATGTACTTCCACCAGGAACACAGGCTTCCTGACGCAGGGATCCTTGTGGGAGATTCACTACCACCTCTCTGCGAATGAAGACTCACTGGCCCAGCCTAGGCATGTGTGCCAGAAGTACTAAGAATGAACCTCTGAAGGTTAGTTCCCTTCCCATTCAGTGTGAGTGATTAATAATCATAATGAGAATAATCATAATAGCAGTTGCAGCAGTGGTGGTCAGCAGTTACTGCATGCCTATGATGCCCCAGCCGCTAAAGAGAGTAGGACTCAATAGTCTCTGCTCCCCCTAAAATTAGTGCCATCAATACATCTCCCAGGATGGGGGAGACTGGGGAGTCAGGAAAACTGCCACCTCTTTCCAAGAGCTATTTTGGAAGGCACTTTGGACTTCAGGAGGTCATCATGAAGACAGGAAGGAGGACCCGTTTCAGAAGTGAAGAATCACCACTGAGCTGTCCCTTCCCTTCCTCAACACCATGAAAAGGGTTGGGTGAGAAACACACATGGGGCAGAGAACTGTACCCCTCTTTGAGTATCTAGAATCAAGGGCCCCAGTGAACATCTCTGCGCTCCCATTTCTCAGCAGCAGCTCTGTTTCACTGTGAAATCTAGAATTCATCCAGTTGTCATGGCTCCTGTCAGCCTTGTGACCCATTAGGCTTTGGACATTTGATCTTTTGGTGGGCTACTATAAATCCATTAGAGCACCTGGCTGCAGATACCTGTAGCCTAGAAGAGAAAGTTGCACTTGTGAGGAATCCAAGTGGAAATATGCAAGTGGCCTGAGTCATGAATACACTCACTAGGAAGTGAGTCTAGGTGTCGCCACTGCCTCCTGTCTCAGGTTTTCCTGCTTGGACTCTGCAGTGCATAAAAACAGATCAGTTCTCCTTGCAACCCTCCCACCCTACTGTTTACTGGCTGCGGATTACGGCAGTCACATGGGTAGGTTTTTTTTAAAGCAAAGCCACGCTGTTTATGAGCTGAGAAGGTTACTGGAAGACAAGGCTCATGAAGTATTCGTGTTGTCCTCCCCTATGCAGAGGGTGTACAACCTGCCAGAAGACCACATTGTTATTGCTATAGCCCTTAGACCAGCACTACCAATTAGAACTGTCTTCAATGATGGAAATGTTCTGTATCTGCACAATCCATTAAAGTAGCTACCAGGTCCATGTGCCTATTTAAATTTAAATGTGAATACATTATAATTAAATTAAAAATTCAGCATCTCAGGCCGTATGTGGCTATTCAGCACTTGAAATATGATTGTGACTGATAACTACCTTTTACATTTTATTTCATTTAAATTAACTTGCATTTAAATTC